GTAAAGAGTAGGTCGTTGTACGACCCGATACTTCGGGACCATATGTTGAAGTGCGTCGGAGCAAGTAAAGTCAGGCACGAAAAGAACACTTCTTCAAAGGGCAGAGGGTCTCTTGTTACATTTATGAGCCCTACCACTATTTGCAAGCTACTCAATATTATTTCTTCCATGATACAAGCTATTATCAGAGATAAGATTATTGCGAATGGCGGCAGATTCAGTATATCTCTTGATGGGTGCCAAGACATTAGCGTAAAAGAGATGTTATCTCTTGTTGGTCGATTGGTCGATGAATTTGGACCTGTTAAGGTTCTTCTCGATATTTCTGCAGCATCCCACACCTCAGGGGAAGCGCTTCTCACCTTCATTCAGCCTACACCTAAAAACTGAGACTAGATATTAATGACATTGTTGGGTATTCTTTTGACGGTGCAGGAAACGTGGCGGGCGTTCATACTGGAGTGCAAGCACGTCTCAAGGAGCAAGTCCCTGATAGTGTATTCCAGCATTGTTATGCACATGTTCTCATTTTGATTTTGCAAAAATCATGCAATATGATACCACAAGCTGCCTCATTATTTAAACTGCTCAAGGAATCATCCATAAACCTTTCAGAGTCTTACAGAAAAGGGTTTATGGAAACGCCTTTCTGAACTGCTGTGTCCCAACATTCCTCCACGTTGGCACCAGGTTGGTGATTCGTGCCGCGCCCTGTTGTAGTAATACTGCACCGCATGCACGGGTGCGGGCGGGTTTGCCTATCCTAGTAGTCCACGGCTCCTTCTTGCCTCATGCCTCATGCCTCATTTTTAGAAGATGCAGTGTAAGTGAGAGTAAGAAGTAGAATGATTCTCAACTCCTTTCTGAAATGATACTACTGTCATTTTACTGTGCCTCGACGCAAACAACATCTTCAAGACTACATCAGGAAACTTGGACTCGGACAACTGGAGACTAGACTTGAGCCCCAAGCTTACAGAGCGGTGATGGACAGAGTAAAACTTTTAAGTATGGTGCCCTCCACTAAACTGGCTGTATTGAAAACAAACAGGTCAGCTTTTTGGAGTGTAACTTACTATAAGGTTGAGACACTCCATGGACCCTCTACCAGAATCAGCAGGAAGAAAGAGATTAAAAGCTACTTCCCCGTTTGTTATGCTCTTGCATTACAATAGTTTCCTTCAATCTAAAGATTTCTTCCCACCTAGCTGTTAACAAGCAGGCCCGCCCTTCCGCCAAACGAAGTTGCCAGCTTCGCTTCGCTGCGCCGGCAACTCCGTTCGGCAGGGGCCGGGCCTGCTTGGCCTGCC